TCAGGTTTAAAACAAATAAAAGGAAGTATTTCTTCACACAATGCACAGTCAACCTGTGGAACTCCTTGCCAAAGGATGTTGTGAAGGCCAAGACCATAACAGGGTTAAAAAAATAACTAGATACGTTCATGGAGGATAGGTCCATCAATGGGTATTAGTCAGGATGAGCAGGGATGGTGTCCCTAGCCTCTGTTTGCCAGAAGCTGGGAATGAGCGGACAGGGGATGGGTCACTTGATGATTCCCTGTTCTGTTCATTCCCTCTGGGGCACCTGGCACTGGCCACTGTCGGCAGACAGGACACTGGGCTAGATGGACCTTTGCTCTGACCCAGTGCGGCCAACTTGAGCCTGCGAAGGAGCCAAAATTTACCAATGTACGTTGCCAAAGAGCCACAGTAACACGTCAGCAGCCCCCCATCCGCTTCCCCGCTGCCAGCGCCTCCCCCCATTGGCAGCCCCGCCTCCTCCTTCCCTTCTCGCACCTCCTGATCAGCTGTTTCGTGGTGGGTGCAGGAGACTGGGCGGTGGGGGGGAGTAGTGAGGGCACGGCAGGCTCGAGGGGAGGGGATGGGGAGGGGTGGAGTGGGAGCAAGGCCTGTGGCAGAGCCAGGGTTTGAGCAGTGAGCCCCCCCCCAGCCGCCTGTAGCACCAGCCCTGGAGTCGGTGCCTATATAAGGAGCCACATGTTAACTTCTGAAGAGCCGCCTGTGGCTCTGGAGCCACAGGTTGGCCACCCCTGCGGTAGGGCCGTTCTTGTATTGTCAGTGCCTGTCACTCAGTTACATAGCTTAGCCTGCAGGCCCCGGCTGAACCGTCTGTCCAGGTGCTCATGTGCCTGTCACAGTGTTCGCTCTGTGACGTCTGTCCCCGTCCTATCCCCCTACGCAGGGTACTGCTAGTCCCTCGCTGGGCTCTTGAGGTGTTAGGCCAGAGCCCATGACCCACGCAAGTCGTGTCTGCTCGGGGGGTGGTCACCTTGGGTGTCCCAGTGGCTCGGCTGAGCTGGGGTGGCTGTGGTGTAGTCCAGCATTCAGTGGGTTGTACTGGTGAAGTGGCTGTGCTGAGATCCCAACAACACTGAGCTTGGCTTGCAGAGCTGCAGAGGCCATGCCAGGGACAGGAGGAAAACCCCTCCTGCCCTTCCCCACTTCCTGGTCTGGATGGCAGAGGCAGCGGCTACCTGTTCTGCCTGGCAGCATCTCCTCTCTGCTGTGTGTTTCAGGTAACACCGCACTTGCTGCAGCCCTTCTTCCAGGCTGCCAGCTCAGGTGCGTTGGCACCTTTTCAGCCATGCGGGGGGCTCTGGGATCCATGCTGGATGTGCTGACCCACCAGGCAAGGCAGGGCTGGTTTGGTGTCTCTGGAAATCTGTTGCTCTTGTCCCCGTGTTCCTGACATTAGCTGGCCACTGCCCTGGGCTGATACTTTTCTGGGCCATTGAACTACACAGCATGATCCAGGGGTTTCTGCAGCAGCCTTGGCAGGGCCTTGGTGATTCTCTTGGCTTGAACCGATGACAGGCGCCCGTGGTGTTGTGGGAGGTGGGCGGAGTGCAGTCTCACACCGAATGTCCAGCGTCCTCGTGGACTGTGACCTCCTGGAGGCACCAAGGGAAACAAAGGAAATAACTCGTATTGGGCCAGTGTGGTTGGCAGCATGAGGCCTGGTGTAGCTCTGCCCCTGCTCATCACATTGTCCTGCACTCTGCCAGTCATGCCAGCTCGGGCCCCTGTCCCCACATCCGCTGTCTCTGTGCCGTCCCATAGGTGGAGTGGCTGGTTTGCCGCGTCCTCTCTATATTGCTCCTGGGATTGTGGACTGTTAGGAATAAAGGCAGCCCTTCCCCTGTCCTGTGCACCACTCAGCAATTAGTGGTGGACTTAACATTTAAAAAAAAGGGGGGGGGGCGGTTAAGTACGCCAGAAGCAGGAAGCCTGTCCAGTCACTGGGGCCACTGAACGATCGAGGTCCTACAGGAGCACTCAATGGAGAAAAGGTCATTGTGGAGAAGCTAAATGAATTCTTTGCTTTGGTCTTTGCTGCAGAGGATGTGGGGGAGATCCTCACACCTGAGCCATTCTTGTTTGGTGACAAATCTGAGGAACTGTCCAAGACTGAGGTGTCATTAGAGAAGGTTTTGGAACAAACTGGTGAATTAGTAATAAGTCACCAGGACCAGATGGTATTCACCCAAGAACTCAAATGTGAAATTGCAGACTAACAACTGTGGTGTATAACCTATTGCTTAAATCGGCTTCTGGGCAACACAATGGCAGATGAAATTCAATGTTGATAAATGCAAAGTAATGCACCTTGGAAAACATCTCAATGACACATAACAAGTGAGGAGGTCTAAATTAGCCATTATTACTTAAGAAAGAGATCATGGAGTTGTTGTGGATAGTTCTCTGAAAACATCCGCTCAATGTGCAGCGGCCGTCAAAAAAGCGAACAATGTTAGGAACATTAGGAAAGGGATAGCTGGTAAGACAGAAAATATCATAATGCCTCTATATAAAGCCATGACATGCCCACACCTTGAATATTGCATGTAGTTCTGGTCACCCCATCTCAAAAAGATATATTAGAACTAGAAAAAAGTAGAGAGAAGGGCAACAAAAATTATTAGGGGTATGGAACGGCTTCCAAATGCGGAGAGATGAAAAAGACTGGAACTGTTCAGCTCAGAAAAGAGATGACTAAGGGGGGATATGACAGAGGTCTCTAAAGTCATCAGTTATGTGGAGAAAGTGAATAGGGAACATGTGAATCAGGAAATTAATAGGCAGTAGGTTTAAAACATAAGGAAGTACTTCTTCACACAACACATAATGAACCTGTGGAACTTGTTGGCAGCTGCCAGGGGATGTTGAAGGCCAAAATTGTAACTGGGTTCAAAAAAGAATTGGAGAAGTTCCTGGGGGATGGATCTATCCGTGGCTATTAGCCCAGATGGTCAGGGACGCACGCCCATGCTCTGGGTATCTCTGAGCCTCTTACTGGCAAAAGCTGGGACTGGATGACAGGGGATGGATCATTCGATGGTTGCCCTGTTTTGTTCTCTCCCTCTGAAGCATCTGGCACTGGCCACTGTCAGAGACAAGATATGGGGCTAGGTGGACTGTTAGTCTGACCCAATATTGCCGTTCTTATGTAGTGATCCCTGACTACGAACCCAGAGCCCTCCCCTCTTGCCCTGGGCTGTGTAGGAGCAAGGGTCAGTGGATGCTGTTGGTTTTGTGCCCTGAAGGGCAATAAACTCTGGCTCCATAGGAGCAAAGGAGTGCAGGTTGTAGCACGGCGGGACCCCCCCAAGAACGTTCTGCCTGTCTGACACCCCCTGTTGCAGAGGTGGTTGTAGGGGCTGTTGGCTCAAGCGCCTCAGTTGCTGGGGCAGAGCCCATGGGGGGCAGGGCCTGTCCGAGGCAGCAGGAGCCAGCCCCTGGATGCAGGAGTATGGGACCTGGGGCCTGAGGGGCGACAGGAGACCGCAGCCTGTGGTATAACTGGCTCCCCAGTCCAGGACACGTCTCTCTGTGCTAAGATTGTGCAGCACCTGCCCCAGCCCCCTTGTCCTTCCCCAGGCTTGGTGTCTGAAGCTGTGACTATGCCTGGTGCTGATGGGGGGGCTCTGGCGGCTTGTGTGGGTTTCATTCTCCCCTGCCCCTCCCCCGGCTCTCACGCTGGGTGCCTGACATTTGGGGAAGTTTGGCAGGAAGCAAGTGAGGACACAGATACTTCCTCTTCCTGTCCCGAGAGTCAGCAGCAGGGATAGGAGTGGGCAGGGAGCGTGGTCTGTGGGGCAGGGGACAGTCACACAATGAGCTGGAGAAGCCCTGAGATCCTGCCCATCTGCAGGCTGGGGGGTGGGGGCATGACGGGGGGGCTCCTGTGCAGGGAGGGCTGTGGGGCAGTGGTTGCCTGGGGTGTATTTCTCCTTGCCCCAGCTTGGGGTTGGTTGGGGGGCTGGAGCTCCTTCTCTGTGGGTCAGTTAGAGGCTAGGAAGGATCAGGGTGGCCATCTGGAGAGAGGGGAAGTGCTGACCATCCCCAAAGGTCCAGACCCTGGGGCCAGCTGGTGCCACTCGGCCACCCTCCTGGAGACCTGGACCGGGCAGGGAGCATGTCCAGGAAAGAGCCGGGGTGCGTGACACCACAGGGTTAGCTCTCCAGGCTGGTCACACCAGGGCACTGCTGGAATTGGAGCCCCACTGCAGCCCTTGTCGCTGAGCTGCTGGGTCTGTGGGGCGGCAGGTCTGCGAGGGGGGAGCTGGATCCAGCAGGCCAAGTTCCTGCTGAGCCTCCCCAGGCCGCACTCAGCTCCTGTGTGCACCAACCAGAGTTCCTGCTGGCTTGGACCTGGCTGACCCAGTGCACGCAGTCCAGGCCCGGAACTCAGCGCTGCTACTTGCCATGCGCGGAGAGAGATTCCCCCTTCGCTCAACTCTGCTAGGACAGTTCCCCCCCCCCCGTCCAGCGCCCCACCTGCCCCTCCCCCAGCGCCCCGGTCCAGCGCCCCTCCCCCATTGTCCCGGTCCAGCGCCCCCCTGCCTCTCCCCCATCACCCTGGTCCAGCGCCACTCCTGCATCGCCCCACGTCCAGCGCCCCGTCTGCCCCTCTCCCATTGCTCCAGTCCAGCGCCCCTCCTCCGGCGCCCCGCCTGCCTCTCCGCCAGCGCCCTTGTCCTGCGTCCCTCCCCCAGCGCCCCGCCTGCCCCTCCCCCAGCGCCCCGCCTGCCCCTCC